AAAAGTGCTTTTTTCAATTTCTTTCCGTTTTGTTTTGTTTTTCGTTTCTAGTTTTGTGCGTTTTCACTTCATGCATAATGAGTTCGAATTTATTACCGTTACGTCAGATTCCATTTTTGAGCATTTACATTCACAAATAGATGACTTCATTCATAAGAATAAGTTAGGTCGTCAGTTCATGTAAACTGGAATAACAGAATAAGAGAATGAACGATTGATTGAATGGTGTAGGTGGAATTTGCGAGCAATACAAAGTGACAAAAACACACGAGAAGAGAGAAAAATGATGGCGGAAATGGAGACAACCCTAAGAGAAAATGAACTGATTTTTTAATCACCTACAACAAAAAAAGAAGAAAAAAAAGAAGAAAAGAAAAAAAGAAAGGAATGGTTTCAAGAAAGGGAAAAAACGGAGAGAGAAAAACGAAAGAAATAAAAGTATTCTGAGCAATAAAATAAATAAATAAATAAATAAATAAAGAAAGAAAGAAAGAAAGAAAGAAGTAACTGATTGATTTGTTGTTTTTTTCTTTGTTTGGGGGTTTATCAATTCTTTGTGGGTCATTTAAAGCCGAAACATATTTTGGATTGCAAGAATAATTCTCCTTTAGTGAGTGAAGTCTCCATCAAAAAATTTTGAGAATAACAATGATTTTTCCCGATACAAGTACTATCATTTAATCCATAGCTGGGGGAGAAGAAAGAAAGAAAGAAAGAAAAGGAAAAGAAGCGAAAGTAAACAAAGGATGGTGGAAGAAAGATGAGAAAATCAAAAAGGAAAAACAAATAAAAAGACGTGGAAAAGAAAGAAAAAAAGAAACTAAATCGATAGTCATATATTCAACAAAAGAGAGTAATAGAGAAAGAGAGTTTAAGTTTAGAGAGAGAAGAGAGTAAGAGTCAGTGTGATAGATTGGCGGACAAATGTGATCATTATAAATGAAAATATCTCTACTGCTTAAAAAATAATTTAAAAAAAAAACAGAAAACATTGAAAAAGAAATAAAAAGCAAGTTGCTTCGTTGAATATCGAAATAGTAGAACCTGATTGTCAAGATTTTCTTTTTAATCCACCTACTGACATTGATCCGAAATAGAAGGAAGTAAGGAAAGAAGGACCAATAAGCAGAAGTCTATATGCACGGTCTTTTCAGGCGATAAATGGGGAGTGAAACAAAAATAGAGAAGGTAGGGGAGAAATAAGAGAAAGGTGTAATGAGGCGTAAGATAGATAGATAGATAGATAGATAGATAGATAGATAGATAGATAGGAATAGGGATAGTATTTGGCTGCGGCCACAAATATTGTATGAGAGAAGGCGAAAAGAATAACATTAGAAGAGAGGGGAAGAATGAAGAGAATCAAGGGTGAGTTACTTATTATGGGTAAAAAGGAATAGGAAAATGGCGGATGAAAGAAAAAGGAGGAAGAAATAAAGAGATGATTTAAGGTGTGAAAGAATTTGAAGGCGAGTTAACGATAAGAGATAAAAAGAGGAATAAAAGGAGAAACAAGCGAGAGAGAGAAAGAGAGAGAGACAGAGTGATAGGTTATCGCAAAGAAGTGGGGCTCAGTTATGTTACATACAAATAGTTGAAATAGAGAAGGTATCAAAGAGTAAGAAAGGAAGGGAGAAAGAAAATAAGGCAAAAGAAAAAAGACTAAGAGAAAGAACAAGAAAGAATTGGAGAGACGGAAGCTATTAGAAAGAAAGAAAGAAAGAAAGAAAGAAAAGGAAATATAATTAAGTACAGGAATGGAAAAGAAGAGGCAGAAAGTAACAGAGAGAAGGGGAGAAGGCAATGAAAAGATGAGGAAAGAAAGAACGAACGATCGAAAGAAAAAAAAAAGAAAGTAATAGTTCAAATGGGAGACAGTTACAATGATATGGTAATTCAGTGCTGCACTAATTGAAAAGCAATCAACTTTTGTAATGAAAGATAATCGACAATGGGGTGCTGAAAAATTGTTGATTTAACCCATTTCCAAAGATTTGACCAAATAACCAGGGCTTCTTCTTTTTCTTTTTAAATTATTTCTTGATTAGGCTAAGAACTTTTCAACACCCCCTGGTATTAAGAACGTAGTCATTCGAGTATCAATTAAAAAAATAAAATGGCAATGCAAATGCCAGATTCTTCAAAACAGTCAGAGAACCTTTCTTGTTTCTTTGATAAAAAAAAGTTTCACTCAAACAGCTTCTTCCTCAGAACTGTTATTCTGTGGAACAAACTCCCAAGAGAATGCTTCCCTGAAAATCACAATCTTGGTCTCTTTAAGTCTAAGTTCAACTAATATCTATCCTATTCATCCTCATAATATACTTACTCCCCACCTTTTAAATTCTCACTCAGTAACCCTCTTCCTTGAGTAGCCCTTGGGCCTTGTATTGGGTGAACTAACAATAAAAAAAAATAATAACGACAACTACAATCATATTAAATAAGAGCTATGATATCGGGCACCCAGTGAGGATCAAATTCACTATTAATGCCCAACTAGACAACCGTGCTGATTACTATTATTTACCGAGACGACTTTGCTAAACTTAGTTTGGCATAAAGCCAAAAGTATGGAGCACCCAGTAAAGATCGAAGTAACTAATCAACCAGATTAGATTTCTAACTCTAAGCCCATAGCGAGGCTCCCAATAAGCATCTAAAGTTGTTCAAAATAACAATAACTAAATGAATAAAAAAGGAGAATACATAACAATAGCAACAGCATTCAAATAATAGATGTCATTCCAGTCGCAAAATTGTGAAGGTGAAAAAATTAATAAAAATAATTCTTTTTCCACCATTCATTTCCATATTTACAACTGCCATAATTAATATATTATTGTTGTATTTCGCTCAGTAGTAACTGATGGCTTAGACCGAAGATAGAGTCATAGCAAGACCCATGAATGCTCTCTGACACACTATTTAGTATTTTCGCTGTTTTCAATAATGCTGACTTATGGATGGCCTTGATTCTTCCACTGATTTCCAGTTTTTCTAACTTTATTTTATTCCCTGGGATCGTTCCAAGTATTCCAACAGTAATGGCCATAACTGTCACTTTCATATTCCACTTTTTTCAATTATCATGCAAAGTTCAAGAAATTTGTTCAGCGCTTCACATTCTTTCAGTTTCATTCTGTACTGTGACGGAGCAGCAATATTCACGATCAGACATATCTTCTTTTCTTTGTTGACGATGATTAGACATTTTCTTCTTACCTGGATTGTGTTATCCGTTTGAATTAATAGAAGTTTCCTTTTCTAAGACAGGTTTTCTGTTTCTAAGAAAGATTCTACTTTGTGCATATGCCATTAGATTGTATGGCTGAATCTTAGTCATTTGCACAGTTCATAGTGGATTACCCACCCTACCCAGACATGGCTATTTTTTGTCAACTTGCTTTATTCGCTTTGTGTTTCACTGTTTCATCTCTACATATTCTGCATTTGTTATTTTTTTGTATCTTGTCTTTTTATAGTCAGTTCTTTTATTGTTTTCTTGGCTATCGTTTATAAAAATTTCCTTTCTCTCGTCAGATGTCCTCTGCGTAACTATTATTCATGTTCTAAAATGCTCCTATATTTGTTCGTCTTCCCATTTTTAGTTACTGGTTCCTTTCTTTTTCTCCTGTCGGGTTTATTGCAAATTTGGCTGCCATAACTATCCTTTTATACCTCTGACTCGTATAGTTCTCAAGTATCTTGATAGCAAAGTGGATGCAACCTTCAGAAAGAAAAGAGATGAGAAAGGAAACTAATGAAAGGGGTGATAATTAAGTAGAAGACACCCACTATTTTCCTCGTTCCTTTTCATATAATCTATCGAGCTCATCTCTTGATTATTAAGCTTTATGCATTGCTATCAACTTCCTAGTTTTCGAATTCAGTGTAATTCTTTTTTTTTTTTTTTTTTTTTTTTTTGTCCGGTTTTGGAAGGGTCCTGATAGCTGACAACAGAAACTGCTTCGGTATTTATTCATTTCATCATGTTTTTGCTGTTAAGTTACTAATATTTTTCATCTTTTTCTTCATACTTGATTCCGCTTCCAGTATTTATATATATTTTTTCTCAATCAATTCATCCATAAAAGGTGATAATGACACAAAGATGCAAGGGGCTACTGGGAGCGAAAGAGAATGAGACTTTAGAAGGAACCGGGAACCCAATACTAAACAGGAAACAAGGGATACATCTCTACTCCTGTTCTTTTCCTCTTTAACTTTTTCCTTTGTGTAAAACTAGCATTGTTCATTTCTCAATTCCGATGTTCTAGATGAAGATACAGGTAGATTGTATGAATATTTCCTATTTCTTTTTGTTTTCATCCAAGATTTTTAAATCAGCCAAATATATGAGAAACATGCGCGCAAAGTGGAATTAGATTTAAAAGGAATGTCTTGCTTTGATTGTCAAGCAGTATAAGAAAAGGACAACTTTGAATTCAAAACAAGTTGGATGTGGGTTTAGTAATTCCACTCCGTAAATCTTGCTATGAAAGCATCAACACCACCACTTAACGTATTTTGGTTGTGGCCTTCTATTCCAGGTGGGAGGTGTATCAACAAGTTCAAGAAGAACAATATATATTTGAAGTGATCCATATTATTTTGTAAAACTGTATTTTCTGTTAACATTTCATAAAGTGTCATTAAACAGTATCATTTCTATAATAAGTAGTAGCAGATATAAAAAAAAATCACTTTCCAATCTTCCACTGCCTTTTTTTTTTAAACATCTTAATGAATTGTGATGTTCAGGATAGTAGTTTGTACATGAAATGGTTCAAGGCATTTTTTTTTGTTTTTTGTTTTTACTTCTTTCAGAATATCTTAATAAATTAATAGTTTTTCTGATTCCTTTTCAACTCACTTTCTATTTCTCAAATAAGTGTCCTCGGCTTTCTAACAAATACTACATCACTTCGTCCAGTTAGGGTTTTTGTAGGATAGTCCATATCATAGGCATGCATGTTATAGGTCTGTAATTACTTACGATTGTTCATTTTGGAGTGTATTTTGCATTGTACTAGTCTTTCCCTTTGTCATCCATTCAAAGATTAGGCTTTTATCAGGCATTTACGTAACTTCTGTGTTAGTCTTTTGTGTGCGACCGTAAATCTCTTAAACCATAACCAATGGATTTCATCGTACACTGACGCTTTTTTCTTTAGAAGTCTATTAATAATAATAATAATAATAATAACTAGTTTTAACCCATGAAAATTTCATGGTTTTCCTATTTTAATTTTCTAATGAATCTTGATTCTTAAGTCAATGATTGAATAAGCTCATGGCGTGTTCTACGACAATAAAATATCCGTAGTAATTTCCTTATTGCGTGGTTGAGCTTAACAACTCTAACAAAATATTTCAATATCATTCATGAAATAACGATATATATTTTTCCATATCAAAAAACAACACAGGGGAAATTGTATGACAAAGTGGAAAAACATTTGTGACTCGTTTCGTCCCAATGAAGTCCTGAAGGATGAAACGCGCCACAAGTATACTTTTTTTTCCATTTTCCAATATGAATGCTGGTCGTTATTTTAAGAAGTGGGTACAAATGAAAAGATTTGATAGTAACAACTTTTTTCCGTTTCACTGAAACAGCCTTTAAACACTTCTATTTTCTCTTCCTTATTTCTTTCTTTAATTTTCTCACTGAAATCAAGTAGTGTCTTTTCTCCTCTTTCCACGCGATCAAAACGGAATAGTCAATTATTATTATTATTGGCAGGAGACGTTAAAATTTTTTATCTTCCATTAGTTCTTTCTTTCTAGCCAAATCCCCGCCTTACGAACATTTCTCTTAATAATAATTTTAGAATAATTCAGCAGACTATGCAATTTTATTTATGGTAACTGGATTTTTGGTCAGTGCTTTATTCGGTTTCCGTCGTTCGATATCATGCGTCTGAAAATGCCGCTTTTATCGTTGTCGCCATCACTTCTCGGACTTTTGGCTAGAATAACAATGTAGTATCTGTTCTTATCAGTTCAATCTGATTCTCTCTCCCCACTTCTATTTTTCTTTCTGTCTTTCATTTTCACACTGAAACCAAGCAGTGTCTTTTCTCCTCGTTTAAACGCGATCAAAACGGAATAGTCCATTATTTATTAGGTATTGGAAGTCCATAACAGTCGTGAAAACTAACGAAGGGAAGAACAAGCACAATTATAATAGGATGATAAAGCAATTTGAAGTACTGAAAAGACTTGTTGCCACTTAGTCCCAACAAGAGTCACTAAATGTTTTTAAGTGAAAATGTATTAAAATAACAATAACAGAAATAGTAGTAGAGGTAGTAATGGTGGGATATTATGGAAATATTATTTGAATTCCTGTGAGAGTTACTTAATGTTAGATGTGGGTAAATTCAGCTGCGATATAATAATAATAATAATAATAATAATAATAATAATTGGAAGAGAATGATAATGGTGAAATTGACAGGCCAAGCTAAATTAAATAATTGCTCTATTAATACAAAGGTCGAGTTAATGATAATATTAACGATGACATCAGTGTCTGTCAAAAGCAAGAACGGGAAAAAAAACAAGAAATCAAATGTTGACAAGATTTCCGATAATGTTGGCATGAGGCTTGCTCTTATAACGGTTTTGATAAGAAGGTGATCTCGAGGCGTGATAACAGTCAAATTAGTAGTAATTGGTTTCGTAATAGTACTAAAAAGGAACAGGTTAAATAAAAGTACGAATAATTAAAATGGAAGATGATGACAACGAAAATTAATATTATCATTATTACACGGGAGAGAAAGTGACGACAAGTCTCGCCAAGAATCTCTCACTCTTCATAGAATTCTGTTATCAGTAGTACCACGGTCTGGATAAACGCAACTCTACTCCTTGATTTCCACTTCCTACAGTCTATTACCTAGGTTTTCCTTTCCAGTTGTCCAATAATGACTGTCATCTTCATGTTCCAAAAGTTCCTCATTATTATTATTGTTATTATTTATTTATTTATTTTTATTATCGTAGTACCGCTGGTATGAACAATAATAATAATAATAATAATAATAATAATAATAATAATAATAATAATAATTGAAGAGAACAAAAAAGAGATTACGTTTGAGAATATTAAATAGAAAGATGAAATTCATAATGATATGAAAGTAATAATTTCATAATAACGATTATAAAGCCGATGAGAATGTTGTGATTGTTGATGCTGATGGCGAATAGGATAAAGATGTTGATAGTTTTTTTTTGTTTTTTTTAAATGTTCATAAGTTAGTGGATGTTTAATTCCCACAGCAATGCCGATAATACTTGTCCAAAAGGAGTTCTAGAAAGTTGAGGACACTTCTGATCATATGATCTCCTGATACATGTGAGGCATGAAATCTCAGTGGGTACAAAATAATAAGGATGAAAAGTAGTAGTTATTTTATTATTGTTGATAAAAGCCTTGGGGAAGATGTAGTTGGTAGTTGTAGCAATAATGATGATGGCAATCTAGGGAAGAAGAAGAAGAAGAAGAAGAAGAAGAAGAAGAAGAAGAAGAAGAAGAAGAAAGAAAGAAAGAAAGAAAGAAAGAAAGAAAGAAAGAAAGAAAGAATAGCGAACAAGAAGAATCAATGTAGAAGGAAGAAGAGATGGAGAAGGATGAGTAGGAGGAGATGAAGATGATATTTACATCTCAATATAAAAATGATATAAATGAAGACAGTCATGACCATCATTATTGGTGCACTGAAAATAATCCTTAAGCTGATATAAATGTAAATCCGAATAAAAATCTAAATAGTACATATCATTATTATAAAAAAAAATAGATAAACAAAATAAAAATCAGTAGTGATACCGATGGTAGTGCCGTATATTTGTGGAGACTTGCTGTCACCTGATCACCAATGAAAGGTATCAGAAACGACTGATATTACGTCTCAATGATTGTAATTCAATGATAGTAATAATATGCATATTATTAGATATATGATGCTATTATTAAATAGCCATTTAGTAATCTCAACTTAGTTTGGTACAAGATCACAAATATAGCGCACCCAGTAAGGATCGAATTCACTATTCAGTGGTAATGATTAAAGAGATTAGCTCGCTAACCCTTACACTATGCCGAGGCGTCCTTGACATTAATAGGTCGCACGTGTGGAAAATATCGAATAAATTATGTCATTTGTGAATGACGTGACTTGATGTGGGAGGGCCGATTAGAATTTTCTCGAATCTATGAATGAGTGAACGCGAACAAAATTCTTCCCCGCTCTGGCAGTCTTGAGTTTCGATTCTTTACTCACTATTGGGTCGATAATACTCTTTTCAATAAGTTCATTGATGTAAAATAAATAAATTCTTATATACCAAAGCAATGGGACCTCTCCTTGTCCCTAGTAATTAATCTTGCTATTCAAATAAAACACAATCAACTCAGAATTGTAACTATTTACATTTCGTACCTTACAACCCAAGAAAAATGATTAATTAAAAATAATGTCTTTGAAAAGATTAATTTTTTTATAAAATGTTGTCCGTTATGGGACGTTTTTGTCTTATATCTTTGTTATTCAAAGCGAATATTCTTTGCTTCTGTTATTTATAGTTGTTCCTCAAAACAGTCGAATAGTCATAACGTATGAATTTATAGCTTTAACTATGAGGAGTCTTTCTTTTTCTTTCGATTTCCCACTTTATCACCGCACTTTGAACAGTCATATATCGTTGCCTAAAAGCATAGAAAAAACACGATGATCGAACTCAGTAACAATACTTGTCGAGAAAGGCTCTTTAAGTATTATCCTACCAATACTCATGCATAGACGAAAGAACGGTATTGCTAGAAAATGAAAACAGCGTAAAAGTAGCAGTCTTGTCTGGTAAGGTAATGATACTGGAATTAATCCTTACTGAGTTATTTTGACGCTGAACACACTTAGCTTTTTTTTTCTTTTCTTTTTTTTTTTCATAGAAAATATCAGATCATTTGATATTTTATTCTCTTATTATTTACTTGCTTCTTCAGATGGAGGATATTTATATACCATCCCCTTATAGGTTGAATGTAGCAAAGAGCCCATTTTTGTAGTGAGGAAAGTTATAAGAATTTTCTAATTTTTTTCTCATGCCACCAGGATTTCCAATGCTGATTTTCTAGGCAAGTATATTCTTCCAAATTTGAAAGACTGGTGTTGCATTATCATCTTAACTTCATTACCACCACAACATTAGGACTTGTGCCGTAATAAGCTTAAATTAAATACATGATCAGTAATTTATCTAAATGAACTCCTCCGCCATTATTGTTTACCTCATAAAATGTGACTGTCTATTCGCAAATGAAAATAAGATAATTGAAACTTGGATCGCATAGTTGTAATAAAAGTTTGAACAATTAGGGGGAGTGGGGCTCTTAAATCGTTTTGGCAATTGATTACGTTCTAAAAAGTGTTTGAATACCAAAAAAATCCATTGGCATTTGGTCGAACGCCATTTGAGGATCGCAAAATTTGTATAAATTTATTTTGGAAAAAAGTTGAGGATCACTGAAATTCAATATTAACCCTACGCCAAAGGTATTGAGTTAAATCATTAGTACATAACACCGACTATTTCAATCAAAGTGTTTGCTGAATAAACACTACAGCCACGAACTTTTGGAGGGATGTATATCTTTGATTATCGTAGATTTTACATCTACGAATGTATTTGATGTAGCGAAGGTGGGTAAAACTTGTCTACGATTCAAATACTTATTGAGGGATCAACACTAGACAACAATGTTTATACTGAGTTATAACTGACTAAAAACTAGGAGGCCATAATAATAGGATAACAATTTTTGTGTTGTTGCTGTATCCTTAAAGAGGTGACAAACAGACAAAAATGATACTCAAGTGAAGGAACAGCAACACACGCGTAGATGAAAGAAGAAAGTTTTATTGTAAAATTCTTTGGTTCCACCAGGTCTAATCTTCACGGCTAGGACACGTCATGTCACTTAGTAGCAAACCCACCCACATTCTCTCTGCATTCCATCGGCGAGAAGTAAATTCCACTCAAACATCTTCTCGCGAACCACTGCTCTGTAGAACAGACCCCCAAGATGTTTCCCCTACAATTTTAATCAGTTCAAGTCTAGAGTTAAGCCTTATCTTCCTTCCCTTATCCATAAAAACCCTCTATTCCATAACCCTCTACCTTGAGTGACCTAAGGCCTTTTACAATGTGGTACATCGGAAGATTTATTTATTTGTTTTGTCGTCCTCGCGACATTCTCGTTCCCCTCGTTTGAAATGACGCTATTTTTATGAAAATGATGTTGAATTCTTAACACCGAATGATTTCTAGCTATCAATTTAAATTACGAGATCGAATAAATTAATGTACAGAATATGAAGCAAAAGGTAAAATAGCACCTTACCCGTTGTACACAACTGACGACTGGTTGATTACCAACAATTCCTATATGCAATAATGAATAAACTATTGAAATTTTAATTTAAACAAAGAAAATATATGTGTGTGTGTGTGTGTGTGTGTGTGTGTGTGTGTGTGTGTGTGTGTGTGTGTGTGTGTGTGTGTGTGTGTGTGTGTAATAGTACTACAATTTAAAAGTTTGAGGCCACCACTGGTAATTGGTCAGGCCCCAAAAGTAGTTGTTTTATTCTAAATAAGAGAAAATTATTATACATGGTTAAAAGAAAGAGAGACATGATTTTTTTATTTATGTCAAAAAAAAAAAAAAGAAAGGATTTTATGATTAAATTTTGCTCTCGTGAAAATATCCTCCTTTAGCCTTGGTTTTGAAGCATAAATTTTACGCATTCTTTGAAAATTTTCTCAAAGTATAAGATTGATAATCAATTCCATTCTTTTTTCAATGACTAAGAGCTCTTTTTTATTTTTTCTTTCTTCTGTCAAGTTCACCCCATGCTAATTCAGGGGTGACTTCAAGCTTTTGAACTGTAATGTATATATATATATATATATATATATATATATATATATATATATATATATATATATATATATATATATATATATATCATTAAAAACGACTGACAAGGTGCTGTAGTTAAGTTTTTTACTTAATTTTCATGTATTTTTATAATTTTCTTCTTTTCTGGGTGTAAATGTCCAAAAGCAGTAGCAAGTAGTTACACACTCACATAATCACACACACACACACACACACACACACACACACACACACACACACACACACACACACACACACACACACACACACACACACACAAGAAAGAGAGAGAGATTGAAAAAGAGATAAACGATATAGATATCAACACTTCATAGTGACTGGCAGTTTCATAACTCAAGTGATCATCACACCATAACGATCATTACACGTGTAACTTCCAGTCACCACAAAGTGTTGATTTCTGTCTATACTGATACTGTTTATTTCTACTCCGATTGAGCACTTTTCTATAAATACAGCAAATCCTAAACAATACACACACGCACACACAGGGTATGATATTTTACCGTGTCTTAATAGTAAAGCCCTCAATTTCATCTCTCTGTTTGATTTCTGGGTATACACTGGATCCAATCAATCATTTACTTTGTCAGTTATGTTTTCTTCTGCTCTCATGTATATATATACCATCAAGTCTCCTGAAGAGTGAAAACATATTATAAAGAGATTTGCAATGTAAGAGAACAAAGTTATTTTATTTACTATTAATACTCTAAGTCTTCATATTGGCGTAATAATTATTTGCCTTAAAAATGTTATCTTCCAGAATTACTTTGGTTGGCCGCTTTTTGCAGGAAATACAAACTTTTTAATTATTTGATGATATATATTAAAAAACGATGAATAGGCTACTATCATTCATTATCACTGGAGTATTTTTTACTCGAATAATAGTCATTCTTGCAAAGAGTAAGCTGGTATCAAATTTAAAATATGATTTAAAACTAGCATTTTTGAACAGCTTGACTATTATGATGAGCAAGTCAAGATTTATGAGGTTTTCACATAAATTCGTTCGTTTTTCATGATTTATTTTAATACTTATTATTTATAAATAGTTCTGATGAATCGTTGAACTATATTTCCCCCTTCCTTGTTTACAACCTCCTTCCAATGATCCACTATTTGTTCAATAATTTACTAGATTCTGACTCAAAAAAATTCATCAAGCCACGTTTTAAGCTCCACGTATTTGTTCAAGGATCCCCACCTAAAATTATTAGAAAGAAATTAGAAGCAGGTGGTCTTTCTGAAGTGACACATTGAGGAGAATATGGTGGGTGTTGCAGAACTTCGTAATCGACCTCTTTAATTGCATTTTAGGTCAGGTTAGCGAAGTGTGAGTGAACATTATCATTGAATAATCACACTGTTTCGATGGTTATGTCTTATCAGCTGAATTGCCTATTTGACTCTGTTTTGTTCCACGCAAGACTTAGCACAGACCTTTTGAATGTTCTGATTACCCATTCAAGGAAGACGATGAGCGACAGTAACATGAGAAATTACATCCTGGGTTACTTTCCCTTCGGGATTATTGCGAAGAATGATACTGAATATAAAAAGAAAAAGACAAATAAAATGTTTGGATTGATTTAATGTGTTGTAAAGTTTAATGGTCTAAAGGAGAAATTGGATATGCAATAGAAAAATACTTTACCTGTATATAAATACAAAGTAT